GTCCATATGCATGGGGATATTGCTTTGTCAATGAAATAAACCAAGATGTGTATTGTTCTTCCAACCAATATCCATGCGCTGCTGGCAAGAAATATTACGGCAGAGGACCCATCCAACTCACCCAGTAAGTCTATCTTATTTTTCAACTTGAAAGCATTAATATTCACCAACTTGGCAAATGATCTGGAAATGTAGTCATTATTGCTTATAATATATATATATATGTGTGTGTGTGTGTGTGTGTGTGTGTGTTAAAATTCAGGTGAATGTCGAGTTGATAAACAAACACACTTCTTATTTCATATATCAGTTATAATATAATGTTAATTACGGTGTAACAGTTATATCGAAAAAATTATAATAAATATAGTCTGTTGAATTGTTGACTTTGACTATTGGAGACTGACTTGTTTTTCAACTTCTTTGACTTTTCTAGCAACTACAACTATGCTCAAGCGGGTCAAGCACTAGGACAGGATCTGATAAACAACCCAGATCTAGTGGCTACAGACCCGGTTGTGTCATTCAGGACAGCTATATGGTTTTGGATGACTCCACAGAGCAACAAGCCATCAAGCCATGATGTCATCACTGGTACGTGGAGCCCATCTAGTGCAGACACGTCAGCGGGTCGAGTTCCCGGGTATGGAGTGATCACCAACATCATCAATGGAGGGCTTGAATGTGGCAAGGGTCAGGACGATAGGGTTGCTAGTCGGATTGGATTCTACAGAAGGTACTGTGAGATATTGGGAGTGAGTCCGGGGGACAACTTGGATTGTTACAATCAAAGGCCTTTTGCCCAATAAAGTGACTATAATCCCATGTACCAAATAAAATGCAATAATAATCTTGTTTCTATTTTCATAGAAAAAGCTCCCTAGTTATTGGTTTTATTGCGACATTGTGAAGAAGAGAATCGATCTCAAGAACTTAGTTCTCGTTGTAAAAGCAAATCACTTAACCTTATACTACTATTAAGAAACTCTCTAAATTTGTGTATGTGTACGAATAATGTCTAAATATTGTTTGTTTAATTCAATAACTCTCGTTCATAAACTTTGATTTGAAAGATTAACTCCAATAAAATTAGAAGCAAAATCAGATAGTGACTCCTCTAAGCTATAGTCCATCCCATCTTTGGAAATTTAGCCTTTTCTACGTACGCAAAAATTCCACTCCAACAAGGAAAAAAAAGGGAGTTTTAACGAAAAGCTCAATGTACTGTTCACTTTAACGAAAAATCATATTTTTACACTAAAAAGTCAAACATGGTATTATTCACTTTACCCTTTATTTTGTACTTATCATTAAAACTCAAAGTTCATTAGTTTTCCTAAAAAAAAAAATGGTCGACACCTATTTGGTTCCTGGTCTTGCCCTTGAGCTAGTGAAGACCGCACACTATTATACCAATTACCAAATAATAACTAACAAAAAAACTTTACCAGATAATAATTTATAAATATTAAATCACCTTCATAACCTACCACTTCAATGATTATGCGCACAAAACCACAAACAAAAGTAGCAAGGAAATACTCTTTGAATAAAAGTAGCACCGACTATGAAAAAGGAACTTAAAAGAAGCAAAAAGTGTAGCGATCCTGGTTATTCTTTAGGTGCGAAATTTTTTAATCAGTCCATAATCAGAGACATCGCGTGACATAATAAATGTTACATTAGAGATAGACATTTTGGGCACTCTTTTAATAATATTGACAATGAGGATGTTGTTATTAATAGTTAGCACATTTATGATTGTGTAAATCCCAAATAGATTGAGTTTAGGATTACTCTTTATGCAAGTGATTCTTTCCGATTAGACTTTGTATTACTTAAAGAGCAAGTTTCTTCATCCTCATGTTTTACTATAAATGAAGGTACTAGCATAGGAATATACATCCTACAATTTTCCTATGCCTTGTTCTCTCCACTCTCTCTATTGCCGCACCCTCTCTCTCCCTTTAATAAAAAGGAAAACTAATGAAAAGGGCTTGAAAACTTTGAGTTTTAATGATAAGGACAAAATAAAGGGTAAAGTGAATAGTACCAGGATTGACTTTTTAGTGTAAAAATGTGGTTTTTCGTTAAAGTGAACAGTACCGGGTGCTTTTCGTTAAAGTTCCCTTAATAAAATTGGCCCTCACACGTTATCAACACGCTCTTAACATTACGCTAAGAAATATGAAGGGTATTTTTTGTTACAATCCAGTTCACATTTATATTCATGCAATCTAGGTTATTCTAAAATATGGTCTTAATTATCGATATTTTTCAACTTTGATTACATAAAACATTCACCATAATACTTAAACCCAACTTTTACCCGAATGAGCCACATCATTTGAGCCACCAGCGCGCCAGGCCTGCAGCCTGTGCAGCTGAGCCAAGCCACCGAGAACTAGAGCTAAGTTGCTCGGCCAAAACCTTCAAAGCGACATCGTTTTGGCATCGTCCATGTCCTTGGACATGGGCAACCATGGACCTCGCCCAAAGTTGAGCCCAGCCGTCATGGATCACCTGTTTCTGGTGATAGCTCGCCAACTCTAATGGCCCGAAGTCATTCCCAACGTGGATTGTAGAGATTTCAGCCGAAACGCAGAAATCTCGCCGGATTTTCGAACTTCGATTTCGAAAATCCACGGGTTTGGATCTTAACGTCGATGAATTTTGACCGTTGGGTTCCAGTCGAAGCCACGACCTCCCTTGGCATAAGGTCACTGCTGCCTGCTGCTACGCCACCATTTTTCGTTGACGCCGACACTCAGCCTTGTTGGGTTAACCTTCAGCCCACCCGAGAAGCCTTTGGGCCTTCTCTCGATTGGCCTATATCCAAAAGCCTCTGGGCTTCCTTCTTGGATCGCTTGCTGTAGCCCAGCCTCAATGGGCCAGACCTCCCATTTTTTCTCTGATTCGTTCTTTCATTTCAGTCCCCACCAATACCCATCCTAGTTTTTTGGGCCTGGGAAGTTCTACTCTGTCTTCAGCCCATATGGGCTTGGTCCTTACTGAGCCGAAATTAAATTGACTAATTTTTGGGCTTTGGGCTTCCTGCCCCCTTTTTTTTCTCTACTAGCATGCAATCCAACAACAATCACCTCCTTCTTCTGGTCGAAACCCGAATAATTCATCATTGAGAAAATGTTTACTGGACACAATTTTGCCCATATAAACATTCTCCAACTTGTCTCATGCTTACTTAGTAATCATATTTTCTATGATGTAGGGCCTGACTAATGTTGTGAAGTGGATCTTGGAGTTCTTGGCCTTCTTGAGAACCTTGGTCCATGCATCTGCTTTCATGATCGTAGGCTTCTCACTAACGAGTACATCATCCAAATCCTGCTATATCAATACATAATTCATCATCCTTTGCCAATCTGTGAAGTCATCCTTGCTGTCAAAAGGTTTTAACGCAACCCTAAGTCTGTAGTTGTCTTTCCTTTTGACATTGTAGAACACCTTGAACTAAGCTCTCGATAACAATTGTTATAATATGAATCCCTCTTGATCTTACTCTTTGATGTATTCGGCAATAGACTAAAATTTAGAAAGATAGAGAAAACTAGAAAGACACAAGATTTATACTGATTCAGCAGAACTTTTGCCTATGCCCAATTGTGATTTCCTTGGGTAGAGAAACTATGGTTTCTTTGATTAATAATAGAGTTATAGTACTTTTGCACACCCTAAACTAAGACGGTGGTCTCTCTTTTTCAGCTGTTGTCTCTGACTATTTTCACACTTTTCCTAGCCTTACTGCACCCTATTTATGAGCATAGGATGTGGTTTACATGCCTATTTTCTATTTAAGATTCCTATTCCAGAATAGGAAAGTACACTTTCTTTTCTTTTCCAAGATATGTTCTAGGATTCCCAATTTAATTGTACAACGAAACTTTGGTTCATTCATAGATCTTTTAGGAGAAGCATCGGTACACCTTTAATTTACGTAATACAATCATAAATGGAATATGTTGATGCACAAAATCAGTGAGACTTTGGAACAACGTAAAATTCAAGTTTGTGATCTTCACTAGGTTGCTCCGGTTACCTAGTGATGATAATATGTAAAGAGATAGAGATAGGAAAGCAAACACAAGATGTATGTGGTTCACCCTAAGTTTGGCTACATCCATGGGGTAGATGAGTTCTCATTAATTTACACAATACATAGGTTTAAGCATAATCATCATCGGTGGGTTCTAATGACGAGTTTAAGTACAATAATAACATTCGGGATTAATTGTAGGAGAATGATCTTCTTTTATAGTTAAGGAGTCTTCGGCTTTCGTCCATTGTCGATGTTGGACTCTATGAGCTTTATTCTAACGTTGAGACATATATCATATATGGACTAAAAATAATTTGATGTCCGTAGAAAAGAAAATTGCTATATATATATATATATATATGTCCTATATGGACTAAAAATAATTTGATGTCCGTAGAAAAGAAAAATGCTCATGAGTCTATTAAATAATTTTAAAAAATAAAAATATGGCTGTTAAATAATTTTAAAAAATAAAGAAATGAGAGACATCATGTAAACTCATACATACTAAATGCAACCAATACTAACACTACCAAAGAAATACTTTGATGATGAATCAAATTGTTTACTATTTATAAACAATTGTTGTTATTTCCACCCAATGTCCTATCTCTCCACCCATTGTTACTGCTTTTTTAATTACAAGTTTGTTCATCTGTAAAATGACATCTAAAAACCTTAAAAGATATTGTAATAACAATAGGTTATGCGCAAAAAAGTAACAGGAGCCCTAAATTTAGAAATAGCACATTGGAGATTACTGTAATAATAATAGTAGGTGTGGAAATAACATTTTAAATTTTTAACTTTTTATGATGGTGTGATTATAATGTGGATGGAGAAATAAAACATTGTGGTGAATTTATTAAGCTCTCTTATAAACTCATATAAAGTATCTAATATTTTTGATGCCCCCAATCTTTTTAGACCCTAGACAGTGGCCCTGTTTGCACTTGGCCAGAACCGACTCTAGCCTCCCATCAATGTGGAATTCGAAAAAATACATTCTATCTCGGTTTCAACTAAATGGTCTTGTGAGATCCACTAAAAGGTTAATCCAAAGTTGAGAAAAATTGGTACAAGACCAAAATTTTCTAACAGTCTTGTGAGATCCACTAAAAGGTTAATCCAAAGTTGACTGAAACTAATTGGGAAAAACCAAAATTTTCTAACCCTCACGTTGGATCAATAATGCTATCCCACGACCAAGACTAACTTTTTACTCAGCTCAAAGCATATATGATCACGAATAAAGATGAAAAATACCAATACTAACTTTTACTCACATTATGACGAAACTATTCATTTTGTAAGTTTGTTATTTCAAATAGTTAAGATTGTCCCACCTAAAATTGATATTCGCTTTGATCTTCCCTTTTCATTTAGCAAGACGAAGTGTGACATATTTTCAACAAAATTCCAGATACATTTAGTCGACTTACATATATTTTCCTTAGCAATGACATTCAGAAATTTATTTTTCTTAAAGGGTTTGCTAGGAGATTAATTAAATAGAAGTTTATTATTTATGTTCATCTCAATTTCTATAGACTAGCTAGCCTTTTGATTGAGTCGTCACAAATCTAAATATTTTGAGTTGTTATTGTTATTTTAAAAAGGTAACCATAAACTTTCTTTTTAAAAATACAATTGAAAGACTTTAGTACATGATGTCTTTCCCTAGAGTTCCTGTTCTAAATTTTGAATTGACGAAGTGAGATTCAAAGTAAACCTGACCTTCAATTAGTTCGGCACAATTACTTCCCTTTTCCGTAAATTCTGTGATCTTTTATCTATTGACGTGTTTTCGGGGGAACTGGGTATATATGAGATGAACTAGTCAATCAGTAACCATACATATTTAGGTCTCCTTTTGCATATCCTCCCAAAATTCAACGTCACTAAATATAAACATTTTTTCTGCAATTTCCACAAAAAACGAAACCAGCTAGAAAAGCGCGTAAAATGGGGCACTTGATCGTCAAGAAGATACTTGTACCCAACAACCCAAATTGAGCAAAAAGTCAAACAAAACCGCTTCACAAAACACTATATATACTCACACACTCCAAAACCCAGTTCATAGATCAGAAAAACCGTTCAACACTTTCACGGAAAAGAAAAGAAAAAAATGAAGTTGCAAACCCTTATCCTGTTGTCCCTAAGTTTGCTGATTGGGATCTCAGCAGAGCAATGTGGGAGGCAAGCTGGTGGTGCCGTGTGCCCAGCTCGAACTCCAACCCCAAGTGGCGGTGGTGACATCAACAGCCTCGTTAGCTCGTCTGTTTTCGACCAAATGCTTAAGTATCGAAACGATGGGAGATGCCCTAGTCATGGGTTTTACAAGTATGGTGCTTTCATTGCTGCAGCTCGGTCTTTTAATGGGTTTGGCACAACTGGAGATGTTAATACTCGCAAAAAGGAGCTTGCTGCTTTCTTGGCTCAAACCTCTCATGAGACTACTGGTCAGTACTAAACTAACGGTCATGTTTGTTTGTTTAGATTTCTGTGTTTAAATTGTCATGAGATCATAAAAACTAGTTTAGTCACGATCGTCTCTCTAGTAATCTGTATTCAAGTTCGAATATCTTTTTCAGTAGTTTAAAAGAATTCGGTATATATCGCTTGTAAAAAAATTGGACGCATCATTTTGTTGGTTATAACATACGAATTCTTTATTTTTACTATAGAACATTACTATACATGATCATTATTTTTGTGTTTAATCATCAATTTAATTATGTAGGAGGATGGGCAAGTGCACCAGATGGTCCTTATGCATGGGGATATTGCTTTGTCAATGAAACAAACCAAGATGTGTATTGCACACCATCCGGTCAATATCCATGTGCTGCTGGCAAGAAATACTATGGCAGAGGACCCATCCAACTTACCTAGTAAGTCTCTCTTATCTGTCAACATCAAAGTATTCACCAACATGGTAGTTGGTCAAGAAAAGTATTTGGGTGTAACCGTAAAATTATTTAGTAGTGTTTCTAATATATGTAATATGTGAATAGGAGTGAACAAGTTTATGTTTTTATTAGTGTACTAAATTGATTTTTGCACGCCACATTTTTTACATATTTTTTTATTTTTAATATTTAGATTAAATAAATCAAATAATTGAATAATAAAGCGGTAATATTCAAACAAACAAGTGCGGAAAGAAAAAACATGAGTGTATAAAGTCATTATCTTTCAAGAATATAGGGTTACCAAATAACAAAGATGAAATATAACACCATGTTAGACAGTTGAGGGGAGACTGACTTGTTTTTCTACTTGTTTGACTTTTACAGCAACTACAACTATGGTCAAGCGGGCAAGGCAATCGGAAATGATCTGATAAAAAACCCGGATCTAGTGGCCACGGACCCGGTTGTATCATTCAAGACAGCTATATGGTTCTGGATGACTCCACAGGGAAACAAGCCATCAAGCCATGATGTCATCACTGGTAGGTGGAGTCCATCTAGTGCAGACAGATCAGCGGGTCGGGTTCCCGGGTATGGAGTGATCACCAACATCATCAACGGAGGGCTTGAATGCGGGAAGGGTCAGGATGCTAGGGTTGCTAGTCGCATCGGCTTCTACAGAAGGTACTGTGAGATATTGGGAGTGAGTCCGGGGGACAACTTGGATTGTTACAATCAAAGGCCTTTTGCCTAAAAAACTTACTTTGTTTATAAAATTACAGGTGGAATCATGTACGCCTTGCTTATAAAGTTACAGTTGACGGTACCTTGCAATTACCTTAAAAAAATTTTTATTTGAATTCAACTATCCTCTTTTCACACCCAACTTTAATATTTTTGCACCTAAACTCTCAATTTTACCCTTACAAAAAGTAAAAGGAAATAAAAAAGTGAACAAAACCTGAACAACATTGTTTTCAGCGACATTCAGCCAGATGCCGTCAAATCTGCCATCATCGCCAACATTTCTCTTCCTCATTTAGTTCTTCCTATTCATTCTCTCTCGTTTCTCAAATTTGTATCCTATAGATGGATAGGATCAAATCTCGCCCTGGTGTTTTTGGCCACGATCATGGGGGCTGGAACCGCCACTTTATACCAAACCTTGGCAGTGATAGAGCGTGCTGGTAACGAGGTGGAACTAAGCGTCGTCGTTGGCGAACGCAGTGAACGACTTGTCGTCGAAGAAGTTAAAGATGTCATAGGATGTTTAGGTGTCAGGATCAGGTTCGACGTAACTTTTATCAGGGGAGAGGGCGGTGAAGATAAAATTGAGAGGCAGGCACGTGGTGGTGGTTTGGGTGGTGACGCTAAGTTTGGTGAGGGATGGGTTTCGGCCATTAGGGTGAAAATGGGTGTAGAAAGATTATTTTGCATAAGGGTAAAATGGAAATTATGAAGAATAATTTTTTTTAATGGGTGGAGAAAGAAAATTTTTAGGTCTAAATAAAACTACTCTTACCTTAAATTCCTTTTGACTAAATAGAAATGAGCATTAGTGGGAGATGAGATAAATTGACAGGCATAATTGATGGAAAAAGTAATGTATGGCCTTGTAAAAGCAAGACATTGTAAAGCTCCAACTAAGCTCCGAAACATTGTGGGCTCAGTCAATGGAATACCTTCATCCTTAAGTAATTGTGTGTAAGATTTACAAGGAGTAAGACATGATTTACAAGATTTTTTTTTGATAGAGATTTACAAGATTCCTTTCCAGCCTTTCTTCAACAAATGGTCCATATACTTTGACTGAGAAATGAAGACATCACTAGTGCTGTCTTAGTTTAATGTTATTGTTGATATGAACTTTTTGATATATTGTGGAACCAAAAAATAGTCCCATAATTCCTGGGGGCAACATGTGGACTTTTAGCCAAACAAGACAATATTGCCCTTATTAAATAAGCAGGGCATCCCATGCGCAGCTCAACATCCTAAAACATGCAAGTAGCAGACTATGACTGCTCAGAGCTACACTGCACGTGAAAAATGTCAAATGTATTTAATGATAGGATTATCCCTAAATCCTATCATTTATTACTCCTAATTAAAGAACTATATCAACTAAGTAAATCCCAATTATATTTAATTAGGGATAATTACCTTTAATTTCAAGATATTATTTACACAATATAATATTCTCACTATATCCTACCCTAATGGCCACTACCTCATTTCTCCACCAAAAATGGGTCTTTTTCTGTATATAGAAAACCCTATACACTCACTCTTTTTAAGGAGACTAACTTAGGCATCGAAGATCTATTGGCCAAAATCCCTCGCCCCCCAACTCATCGTGGTCGCATAAGACTTTTGGTCTTTAATCAAAGGTGTGAATTGTCTGTAGGTGCATTTTTGTCAAAAATGAAAGCAATAGAATTTACATTGACACATATCATTTGAAGATGCTCTTATGCTACTAATCATATAATGTTAGACGTCTTTTTTTGCATATTTATTTTAGAATTTTAAAGATTTTCTTATTTGTCTTATTTTTCACACATGTCCTCCCTTAATGAAAATGTTCATAGCAAAATTTATAAAGTGGGTCAGAAAATTTAATGAATAGGCGAGAATAACAACATTCTCTCTTAATATCTAAATATCAAAACTGTTACTCTTATAATATTTTTATACTATATTTGTACTCTTCTTTAATAGAGATATGACACACTCGTGTTGGTGAGCCCTATCATTATTAGCGAGGTAATACAAATATAATATGAAAAATATACTAATTGCAAAATTAGTCCTAAATATTCATTATTGAGAATTGAGAATTAATATAGTCTTAAACTGTACCTAAGGCTCCTAACATGTGAAAATATAAAGGAGACTAGAACACATTGTGTGTGAACAATTTCATTTTCTCTTTTGTTTTTGATTAAAGAGTGTGATTAGTTTTTAAAATTTTTAAAAAGAGTATGACACAATGATAATGGGATCTCTTAATAAGGGCATATTTTTTCTTAATATTAAATAATTACCATTTTGCCCTCTTTATGTAAATATTGTGTATCAAAAGTGAGGGTAAAATAGGAAAAATGAGGATATGATTGTCATTTTCCCAAAAGATACAAAATTACTATTTTGCCCTTCTTATGTAAGTATTGTGTATCAAAAGTGAGGGCAAAATTGAAAAAAAGTGACAAAAAGTTAACAAATAGGATTCTCTTAATAGAATAGATAAACAAGAGGAAAAAAGTGCTTATAAAGGAAAAACAAGTGTGAGAGTGCAAGATAACTATTTTTGGCAATAACAATTTCCTTAGTTATATGTTAAATCAATTTTGTACTTTAAAAAAAAAATCAATTTTGTAATTATTTATTTATTTTTTTCGTTTTTAACTCATTGTGTCTCGGTTCAAATTTTTTCTGATAACGATTAGTGTATATCAACTATAATAAAATAAAAATAATTTATTATGTAGACATGATATTGAAAATGTGGTTTGGTTTTTTGTTTTTTTTTTTAACAAACGATATTATTGTCACTAAAGAAAAGGGAGTCTAGTCTCATGATGGGTGAGCAATAAAGTGGTTCAAATTCACCTTTGACTAGAATTGAACTTAAGACATCTTATTTATAAATAAAAATGAATACTATTAGATCGTAGTACTAAGTGACATATTTAAAAAGTGACTTGAAGGTACAAAGAAAAGTGTAAAGAGGAAGGTATCTATATGTTTCCTTCATGTCTCTTTTTTCTACATGTTAACTTCTCATGTAAGCTCTAGTATCCATTTTCCAACCCCAACACCCTCCCCACATTTCCGGCTGTCCACGTTGGCCAATCATCACCTGAGCCACTCCCAACCCTCACTGCGGTGCCCACCCCTCCACCACCACCACCACCTCCTCCTCCTCCTCTCTCCGATCTCCCCGAAAACCAGTTACGAAATCCTAAAAACAAGTAAGTTCCCTTCTGCCTCGCTCTCTCTGATTTAACATTATCTAGCTTATTTGATATCTTCCAAGAATTTATATTTTATCGCCTTTGAAATCGACGAATATTAAGTAATTTATTACATTCATCGTTTTTGAAAATTATAAAAATTAGTTTCAAATCGATTATTAAGTAATTTAGCTGCTAAACTGACTAGCTAGTAGCTAGCATGAGACTCTAGGCTCTGGCATACTTACTGACTGGTTCTTTGTAAATTTTGCTAATTTGCCTCAGAATCTGCAGCTTATCTGACTAAACTGTTCCAGTATTAAGTTCAATAGTTAGCAAATGGAAGAAGGTTCGATGGAAATTCCAACTGCTTCAACATATGATAAAAAACAAGATAAAGCTCCAATGAATTTGGGTGATAAGGGAGAAACAAGTAATCCGTTGGAGGATCGGATTAGTCAACTGCCTGATGCGATTCTGGTTGACATCATTTCCCCGTTGAGGATTAAGGAAGTAGCAAGGACTAGTGTCCTCTCTAAGAGGTGGAGATATTTGTGGACACATGTTACACGTCTCAACTTTGATCATCATGATGGTGAACATCCACGTACCTCCACAAGGACCACAACAGTTAATCCGTCAGAGAGACGTCGTCTAGAAGCGACCAACAGAAGACAACGAATCCGGCAATCGCACCAGGGTTTAACACCTTTAAACTTGGGTGAATGCAGAGGTGGTTCTTCCTCAGCGGGTTCCGGTTCAAGATCTAGGCACCCCGATGGAATTTCAAGACTAATTCGCCCACCATCACCACCACCGTGTACGGTGGTGACTAAAGTCCTGCAATCGCATCAGGGTCCAACCGTAGATGGAGTCAGAATTTGTGGATCTTGTTATAGCTCGGATAATGTCGATGATTTTATCGAATTTGCAATTCAAAAGAAAGTTCAAAGGCTTGAGATAGACAAATCGAAAGAAAAAGACACCAAGTCTTGGGAGAAGCCTTTCAACAACCCTTTAGGTGTTTCACGCATTAAGTCCCTTAGACACCTCTCTTTAAAGTACATACCTATAACTGATGAAGTTGTTGGGCTGGTTCTATCCGAATGTCAACTTCTTGAACACCTCAGTATTTGTCACTCAAGCGATCTTTATGCTGTGAAAGCAGTTGGTTCATCACTCCGGTTGAAGTTCCTACAAATAAGTTATTGCGGTGGCATAGTCAGAATTGATATTTCTGCCCCTAATCTTGTGTCATTTATATATCGCGGACAAAATGTGTACAGAAGAGGAATTGTTTTGAAACATGCACCCAAGCTTGTCTACGTATCTCTCTCAGAAGACGAACCTGATAGCATTACCAAACATCTTCTGTCGATATCAGCTCGACTTTCATACCTTCAGACTCTCCACCTGTGGATGAATCTGAGAAGGGTTAGACTCTCAACCTGTTATTTACTTTAAAATTTTCCTAGCTTCTTGTGCTTGTTGGTTGATCATTTTCAAGTTTTTTACGTTCCTATCTTTCAGACAAATGTTATGCTCCCACAATTTCCCGAATTAACTAGTCTCAAAGACTTGTCGTTGACTGTACATGCCAAAAATTATGGTCCAAGTCTCCTGGATATGACTTCCTTGTTAGAGCAATCTCCCTTCTTGCAGAGATTAACATTCCAGGTAAATTCAATATATCTATTAACGTGGTTTTTAGAAGTCATATGTTGATCCTCTACTTTTCAAATATATTAACGTGGTCATCAACATTGTATTATTGATAATTCCGTTCCTCCTAGAAATCGCAAAAGCATGGAATTTAAAATGATGAATTTAATGTTCATTTGGAATTTTTGAACTTTTTATCTGTTTTTTTAATTTTGTGCATGTAGTTGATATTAGGAAATGATTTCATTACTTTATAATTAGTTACACTGAGGTATTTATATAAACTAGATTTACACAGGTAAAGAGAATAGTTACAGTGGTAACTATTTGTAACTATTCTAACAACTAACTAACTTGACTAACACTAATGTTTTACAATGGTAACTTGCTCTTCACACCCCCTCAAGCTGAACGGAGAAGGTTGAAGTGAAAGCTTGGATCGAAGATGAAGAAAACGTGGCCTTGGCAGAGATTTGGTGTGAATATCCGCTAATTGATCCGCACTGCAAACAAATTTGACAGTAAGAAGCTTAGCCAAAACAAGCTCACGGATGTAATGATAATCGATTTCAACATGCTTTGTGCGAGCATGAAAAACCGGATTTGAAGTCAAGGCAATTGCAGAAACATTGTCACACCAAATTTGTGGCAAGGAGGACAACTTGAAACCAATATCAGAGAAGAGTTGACAGATCCAAGTGATCTCAGCAGCGGTATGTGCAAGGGAGTGGTACTCAGCTTCGGTAGAGGATCGGGCAACTGTGTGCTGTTTCTTTGCACTCCAACTAACTAGACAAGGACCAAGAAAGATGCAAAAGCCTCCAGTGGAACGCCTATCCCACGAACATCCTGCCCAGTCAGCATCGGAGTAGGCGTTGAGAAGGAGGGGAGATGTGGTTTTGGGAAACCATAAGCCAAATCCAAGTGTCCCTTTTAGATACCGGAGGATGCGTTTCACGGCTTGAAAGTGAGGCTCCCGGGGAGAATGCATGAACTGACACACCAGATTAACCGCAAAGGATAAATCAGGCCGGGTCCATGTAAGATATTGGAGGGCGCCAACAATAGAGCGATAGTCCTCGGGATTCGACAACAAGGAACCAGTGTGATCAAGCTTGACAGAACTAAGGGGAGTGGCACATGGCTTTGCCCCATCCATTTTGGTACGCTTGAGAAGATCCAATATGTATTTGGATTGATGAATAAAGGCTCCGGAGGTGGATTTCTGAACTTCCAGACCGAGAAAGTAATGAAGATCGCCGAGATCCTTGATTGGAAATGTAGAGCTCAACTGAGAAATGATGGTGTTGCAGACACTAGAAGAAGGTCCGGTCACTATGATATCATCGACATACACAAGAACCAAAACCAAGGTAGGTTGATGCAGCACAAACAGACTATGATCAGAGTGTGAAGCTTGAAATCCCATTGAGAAAAGAGCAGATTGAAGTTTTTCATACCAAGCACGAGGGGCTTGCTTTAAGCCATATAAGGATTTCTTCAAGTGACAGATATGAGTAGGATGATCCTGATCAATGAACCCAGGTGGTTGAGCCATATATACATTCTCTTTCAAAGAACCATGGAGAAAAGCATTGCTTACATCCAGCTGGTGTAAAAACCAGTTTGATTGGACGGAAAGGGTGAGAATGATGCGGATAGTCACAGGTTTAGCAACCGGGCTAAAAGTATCACCATAATCAATGCCCTCTTGCTGATTGTAACCTTTTGCAACGAGTCGAGCCTTGTAACGATCCACAGAACCATCTGGTTTCCTCTTAATCCGGAAAACCCATTTACAGCCAACCAAATTATGAGTGGAGGTAGAAGGAACAAGCTGCCAAGTACCTGTACTTTGTAAAGCATTGAATTCATCCTGCATAGCAGCCCTCCACTGTGAATGTTTGGAAGCCTGGAGATATGTAGTAGGTATAAACTCACTGTCAAAATGAGAAGGCAGAGGATGGGTTGTGGCAGTAAGAGCCTTAGGTTTGTATATGCCTGACTTAGAGCGGGTTTGCATTGGGTGAACAGAGGAAATAGGAGGTACAGGAGGAGGGGCAGGGTGTAGAGAAGGAGAGGCTGGTAGAGGAGAAGAGGGAGGTGAGGGAGGTTGCAGAGGTGCAGGACAAGGAGCAGGAGAATGAACTTGCTCAGTAACTGGCGCAGGTTGAGGAGGGGAGGAAGAGATGGGTGGTGGAACACGGGAAGGGAGAGAATTAGGAGAATAAAGATTGGGAAAGGTAAGGGAAAAATGTGAGTAAGGTTCTGGGGTATGGGGAGTGGAGGACTTTAGAAGGTGGGGATCATGAAAAGGAAATGTATGTTCATCAAAATGAACATGTCTAGAGAGATAAACCCGATTAGTGAAGGGATCTAGACATCTATACCCCTTGTGAGCTAAGCTGTAGCCAATGAAAATACACATCTTGCTCTTGGGATCTAATTTGGAATTGGTGTATGGTTTTAACCAAGGAAAGCACTGACATCCAAATACCCGAAGAGACTTGTAATCTGGAACTTTCTTGAAAAATTGTTCCCAAGGGGAAGACTTGTTGACTGGAGGTAGGCGATTGATAAGATAGACTGCAGTAAGAAAACCTTCAACCCAGAATTTGTGAGGAACTTGTGAGGCAATAAGGAGGGTTCGAGCAGTCTCAACAATATGTCTGTGCTTCCTTTCAGCACAACCGTTTTGCTGAGGAGTGTAAGGACAACTGAATTGTTGCTGAATGCCATGGAGAGACAAATGATGCTTGAAGTTAGAACTTGTAAACTCACCCCCTGAGTCTGATCGTAAAGTACCAATTTTGTAACCAGACAGATTTTCAACAAGAGCTTGGAATTGCACAAAAATTTGAAACACTTCCGATTTATGTTTGAGAGGATACAGCCAAGTATATATTTGGTAAAATCATCTACAAATATGACATAAAAGCGGTAGCCACTAACAGAACATACTGGAGCTGGCCCCCAAACATCCGCATGAACCAATTCAAGAGACCTAGAAGTAGTACAGAGAGATTCTTGAAATGGTAACTTGGCACATTTGCCTAAAACACAATTGGAGCAAAAGAATTGTTGAACATTATTAGAATCAGGTAGTATAGACTTGGATAACAGTGATCGAAAAGTCTTGAACGATGGATGACCCAAACGTTGATGCCACACATGAGAAGAGGTCCTTATTGCAGAATGAGCATGAACCTTCGGTGCAGGTGAAGAAGAAGCATAAAATGGATAGAGACCATTGCTGACAGGAGCTCTAAAAAGCATCCTCCCCGTAGTAAGATCCTTGACATGGAAGTCAAAAGGATTGAGGGTTAATGAACACCAATTATCACGCAAGAACATATTGGCAGAAAGAAGATCATGCTTCAAGTGGGGAACATGTAACACATTCTTTAATGTAAAATCTGCAGAAGGTGTTTTAAGTAAAGTAGAACCAGTATGGAGAATTGGCAAACCTTGGCCATCTCCAATGTAGACTTTATCTAGACCAGTATAGGGCTGTGGATTCTGAAGATGATGAATATTATTGGTCATATGGGAGCTTGCGCCGGAATCCAGTAGCCATGGTGGTGGAGAAGAAGTACTAGAAGATGCGTACATCGCAAGTTTGGCGGGCGGGAACACGGCCTTGAAAAGTTGGATTCATGCGGTGGGAACAGTCAATGGCAGCAAGATGGCCAGTGTCCTCACAAATTTGACACGGAATGACTGCAGAAGTGAAAGAACGGAAGCCACGATTTCCACCTCGATTTCCACCACGATTAGTTGAGAAATTAGTAAACCGATTGGAACGATTACGGTTGTTGTAGGGCCTTTGAGAAGTGTTCCGCTGAAAATTACCGCGATTATTGCCAGGGTAAGAATGCTGAGAAACCATTAGACTGAGCATTGTAGGCCTGATGTGGTGGAGGTGTAGGAAGCAAAGGAGGAGCATTGGAAGCTGCTGGAATAGAGGTGAATGCCTGATACGGTTCAGAGGAACCCTGAGATTGCTTGCGACGAGCAAGAGCCATTTCTTTGCTGAGAAGAAATCCATGGAGATCATCAACAGTAGTATCAGCAAGACGAAATTGAATTGAATCCACGAAGGAATCATAGTCATCAGGCAAGCCATTTAAGAATGAGGTGAAGGAGATCCGACTCCTCAACAGGGGCACCACCAAACACCGGCAGCAGCGAGAGCATCAGAAACTTCTTTGATTCGTTGCAAATATTCAGATATTGTGGAAGTGCCTTTCGACATCAATTGCAAATTCGATCGCAACTGATGAATGTGAGAACGAGAGACTCCACCGAATCGCTTCTCAAGATTTTGCCAAAGTTCACGGGAGGATTGAACACCAACAGTAAAGGGAATCAAATCCTCAGAAAGAGTGGAATTAATCCAAATGAGGATGTTTTGATCCTTTTCATACCAGATCTCGAAGGCTGGATTCGGAATCGAGGACAAATTTCCAGAAAGATCAGCAAGAAATTGAGGCGGTGGCGGTTCAGATCCATCAACCACGCCGCTGAGCTTGTAGCGGCGGAAGATCGGTTCGAACAAAGAACGCCAAACAAGGTAATTATGACGCTTGAGTTTTGTTTGAATCATACTCCCAATGTTTTGGATCGTGATGGAGTTGAGTGAAGCTTGAAAGGAGGAGTTAGGGTTCATCTGAGAAGGATTGAGATGTGGAGGCAGCGAAGAGGAAGGATCCGCGATCGCCGGAGAAGGAGGATGCGCAGCCACAGGAGAGGAAGAATTCGAAGAATTTGCCGCCATTGATGAACAAGATCGAAGATCTGCAGACGGAAGCTATGGTGTTTGGTAGGTAAGAAAATAAGCAAGAAAATAGTAGAAAGAGGATCGAAGTCGGTGGACTTAAGCGAGTGATACCATATTAGGAAATGATTTCATTACTTTATAATTAGTTACACTGAGGTATTTATATAAACTAGATTTACACAGGTAAAGAGAATAGTTACAGTGGTAACTATTTGTAACTATTCTAACAACTAACTAACTTGACTAACACTAATGTTTTACAATGGTAACTTGCTCTTCAGTTGAGATTAGTGTTCATTGAACAACCGAGTGGAAATTACAAGCAACAGGAAAGCGTATTTTTACCACTTGTGATTTTTTTTTCATTACCGCATGAAACTTCTACTTGTTTTGAACTTTTGATACGAGCGATAGTGGGAAGGAGAAACCAAACTCGAGACCTCGGGTTTGAGGGTGGATACTCCTAACCAACTAAAC